TGACGGAACAAACAAACAACTCCAGAAACATTTCTCACACAATTTCCTGGCCTTTTTTTCACCAATGCAGTTATCAAGTTTCTTAAAACTTCACAAACTAAGCCTCTGTGATCATCCTATGTCCTTGGTTCCAATTCATAGTGGTCCTCTAGAGGGTTCCCAAGGAGTGGCTGGTGAGTTTGAACCACTTACCTTGTCATTAGCAGTCCAGTGGTTATCCTAAAGTACCAAACAAGATCTCCTAGAAATCCCCACCAAACAGTTACTGTAACCTTTTGAACTGGCCTCTTTGCCTTGAATTTAACTAACCAAGAATTTCTCCTTGGAAACTGCTGTTTCAACTGGACTTTTTTTTTTTTTTTTTGTATGAAGGCACTTGAGCAAGATTAAGACCAGTGCACTACTGAGAAAACTTGTCTAAAATCATCCACTGATCACAGAGACACATTTAAACATGTGTTTGGAATCATTTCATGGATGTATGAACTAGAACCCTAACAGCAATACTTTCTGACTTTACCCTTGTATAAGGAAAAGAAGTTATGATTTTTGAAGACAGAAGTAAAACAATTGCTTTAGGACTCTCTAACAACTATCCTGTATAGACTTTGGGGAGGATTTTTGGCTTCTTTTTTTCAAGGGCAATAACAGATGGTTAAAAATCACAATTACAGCCATCATTATTTGAAGGTCATAGGCTATGCACTGTTGCTATTGTTAAGTGCCGTCGAGTCGGTTCTGACTCACATCAACCTTGTATAGGGTTTCCGAGGAGTGGCTGTTGGGTTTGAGCCTTCAGCCTTGTGCCACACCAGGGCTCCTGCAAACAAAGTATATGACAAGAAAGGGACTAGCTTTGTCGGTTATAACTCGTAAACCCTAGAAAATACTTGGCCATATAACTTGACAACTACTTAATGATCAATTTTATATAAGATGTAGCACAAATTTTCTAATTCTAGAAGTTAACTATTACATACGGCATCACACAGGAGCCAAAGTAGAGAAGATTTGCCTTGTTAACTCTGCCAATCAAAGCTAAAAACATTCCGTGTTATTTCTCAAAAACTACCTTGCAAGGCAAGACCACTGAGGTGTCACAGTTTTCAAGAAAGAAGCCGGTGCTCATAGTTGTTGTTGTTGTTGTTAAGTGCCTTCGAGTTGGAGCCGACCCATAGTGACCCTGTATAGGGTTTCCGAGGGTGTAAATCCTTACGGGAGTAGAAAGCCTCATCTTTCTCCCGCAGAGCGGCTGGTAGTTTCGAACCACTGACCTTAAGGTTCACAACCCGATTCGTAACCACTACGCTACCAGAGCTCCATTATTGAATTATAGTACTTGTTTATATATTGTGGGTGAGTCCTCTGTCTGATATATACTAT